AAACCTTCAAAGAAGAGCTTATTCCTATACTGCAGAAATTATTCCAAAAAATTGAGAAGGAAGGAATCTTCCCCAATACATTCTATGAATCAAATATCACCCTGATACCAAAAACCAGGAAAATATCCAACTAAAAAGGAGAACTTCAGACCAATTTCACTAATGAATATAGATGCAAAAATTCTCAAGAAAATCCTAGCAAACAGATTACAGCTTATCATCAAAACAGCCATATATCATTATCAAGGATGCAAGGCTGGTTTAACATCAAGTAGGTTTCATCCCAAGGATGCAAGGCTGGTTTAACATACACAAGTCCATAAACGTTATTCACTGTATCAACAGAAGCAAAAACAAAGACCATATGATCCTCTCAATGGATGCAGAAAAAAGCATTTGATAAAATCCAGCATCCTTTTCTAATTAGAACACTGAGGAGTATAGGCATAGATGGCACATTTCTTAAAATGATGGAAGCCATCTATGACAAACCCACAGCGAATATTTTAATGAATGGAGTAAAACTGAAAGCTTTTCCACTTAGAACTGGAACCAGACAAGGTTGTCTTCTGTCACCATTACTATTCACTATTCTGTCACCATAGTGCTAGAAGTTCTAGCCAATACAATTAGGCAAGACAAGGAAATAAAGGGCATCCAAACGGGAGCAGAGGAGGTCAAACTCTCCCTCTTTGCTGACAATATGATCTTATACTAAGACTCAACCACAGACTCCTGGAAGTTATCAAAAAATACAGTAATGTCTCAGGATATAAAGTCAATGTTCACAAGTCAGTAGTCTTTGTATAACAGCTAAGATGAGAGGCTAATTAAGGACATAACCCCCTTCACCATAGCTTCAAAGAAAATGAAACACCTAGGAAAATACCTAACAAAAGAGGTGAAGGACCTCTATAAAGAAAAGAAAGTAATTTCTTTCCTTTTAGAAAGGAAAAGGGGAGAGCAGAGAGAAGGAAGGAGGGAGGGAGGTGGAAGGTGATGGTGTGTGACACACCTTTTGTGGGGGGGACATAATCATAAGAGAGACTTTACCTAACAAATGCAATCAATGCAACCTGGTTCTTTGTACCCTCAATGAATTCCCAACAATTAAAAAAAATTTTTAAAAGAAAAATATTTAGGTAGAAACAAATTCTAGCAATGGCTATATTTCTGAAAACATTAAAAAAAAATACTAGAAACTTTTATTTCTTTCTGTATTTTAGAACTCCTTATTGAAATCTGCTTCACTAACCCATCCTGCAGCTTCAATATGCATAGAAGCTATGCTTAGAAAATCCATGCTGCAGTTCACCTGGAATGAAACAATTTACCATCTTTAAGAGCACTATATTCTAACACTAAATTTTTCTAGGTTTCTCATATTTATATTAAATTGTGATAAACTAAGAAGAGCAAGTCTAATACTGCTATGAAATAGATGTTCATATATTAATCTCACATTGTCCAAGAGATGGTCAAATATTTTCTCTATTTTTTGAAAAATCATAGAAATTTAAAGAACTGTTGCCAGATTAAATCATACATTCTCTGCTTTGACTGTATTTATAAGAATGCCAACTATTCCCCTTTGTGAAATGGTCTTGATATCATTTTTATAATTACCTTCCAAGGTCCCTTTTAATCCTATAAAATTTGGATTGTCACTATTCCAAGACACCTAAGTCCCAGAAAATCAGCTCACTGAAACTTGCTAAGCGACACTACTTCACTCCTTCACCACAGAGAACCTGCTGCGTGCAAGGCACAACTGAGTATGTAATAAACTTAACCAATTCTATATTCATTTATTTTCTCCCATCGTATTTCTGATCTTTCCAAACAAAGGAAAAGTTTCCTTGCAAGGTAACATCCAACCACCTACTAGTACTGTGTGCCTCCGCCTCAATCCTTACATGCCACAAGCAGAACACACTCAATGTCCCTTCCTCCCAATCCCTCAATCCTTTTCCTCCAAATTGTTCCTCTAGGGTAGTGGCAACACCACCCACTAAGCCTTCCAAAGCAGAAACTTTCTTTCTGCTCCATCCCTACTGGATACTCAGTCAACAAATGGTGTCTATTTCCATATATCTCTAAAATCTTTAAATGCTCCCCATTATCACTACCACTTCCCTAACTCTTGTCTCACTTCTCTTCTGGCCATTGCTAATTGACTCTCATCTCCTTCTCTCTAGACTCACCCTTTGCCTGTCCTAACAGGAGTGTAAGGGCAGTACTCTGTTGCAGAAAGCTCTTCACTGATGTCAAAGCCAAAGTCCTATTGTAAAAGTTCCACTAGCAAGTGATGTGCCCTCTGCCTGCCCCTTCCATGTCATTTCCCAATATCCTTTTTGGCATCTTCCCCATTTTTATGCCTCTCTTTGGCCTTCTCTTTGGTCTATTATCTCAATTTCAAAAAGCTCTAGCATAGGTCAAGAATTAGAGTATCAAGGACTAGATTATAAGTCATTTTTTTTTGCTTAAAGTTGCTTTGGCTATTTGGGCTTTTATGGTCCCAAATGAAGCTTAGACTTATTTTCTCTAGATGTGTGACATGATGTTGATACTTTGATGAGGACTGCATTGAATTTATACACCACTTTGGGCAGCAGAGACATTTTAACATTGTCGATCTACCAATCCATGAGCAAGGCATGTTCTTCCATTTGTTTGTCATACACGATTTTGTCGCCAGTGTGCTGCAGTTCTCCTTGCAGAGATCTTTTGCCTCCTTGGTTAAGTATATTCGTCAGCATTTTATTTTCTTTGTAACTATTATAAATAGTATTGAGTGCTTGATTTGACTCTTGACTGTTACTTTGCTAAAATTCACTTATCAATTCTAGTAGTCTTTTGAGTTTTCTAGATAAAAGATTATGTCATCAGCAAACAGAGATAGCTTGACTCCCTCTTTCCCAATTTGCCCTGTATTTTTTTCTCCTGCCTGATTTCTCTGGTAGGACTTTCAGCACTATGTTGAATAAAAGGGGTGACAGTGGGCACCCTTGCCTTCTTCCAGTTCTTAGGATGCTTTCAACTCTCCCCCTTACAGTAGGATGTCGGCTGTGGGTCTGTCATATATGGCTTGTATAATTTTGAGGTATGTTCTTTGTATGATGACTTTGTTAAGAGTTTTTATCATGAAAAGGCACTGAATTTTTACTGAATACTTTTTCTACATCTATTGAGTTGATCAGATGGTCTTTGTCTTTGCCTCTGTTTATCTGGTGAATCACATTCATTGATTTGTGTATATTGAATCATTTTTGCAGAGATCTTTTGTCTCCTTGGTTCAGTATATTAGTTAAGTATTTGTGAATGAAGTCCAGCTGATCAATGATGAATTTTCTCTTTGATATGCTGTTGAATTTGGTTTGCTAGAATTTTTTTCAAGGTGTTCACAAGCGATATTGGTTTGCAATTCCTTCTTGTTATTGTTGGGTCTTTACCTGGCTTTGGTATCAAGGTGACACTGGCTTTACAGAATGAGTTAGGGCAAATTCCCTCCTCAATGTTATGAAATAGTTTCTGCAGGACAGGTATCAGTTAGGTTTTCTATGTCTGGTAGAATTTGGCTGTGAATTTGTTTGGTCTGGAGCTCTTTTTTGTCAGGAGATTTTTTATAACTGCTTCAATATCACTGCTCATTATTGGTCTGTTCAGGAATAAAATAATGTCTTTTATAAGAACCGGAAAGGAACTAGAGACCATTATCCGAAGTGAAGTATCTCAGGAATAAAAAAATAAACACGATATATTCTCAGTAATAAGTGGGAGCTAAATGATGACACAAAGAGATGTAAAGGACATTGGAAATCAAGAAGTGTGGAGGGATGAAAACTGACCTATTGGGTACAGTGTCACCTATTCTGGTGACAGGCACACGAAAAGCCCTGACTTAAGCGTTATACAAGGTATCCATGTAACAAAAACATTTGAACCCTTTTAAATTATGAAATTAAAAAATTAAGTATTCTACTTGATTTTAATTAATTTGATTCTACTTGATTTAATTATTATGCCAATATTTGTATAGGAAGGTAAGAGTAAGCTAAAACATCTGAACAAAAAAACAAAATTAAGTCTGAGTGTAACGGCATTATAGCTGACGTTTAATGAAAGCCCACATTATAAGCCCTTCAGCATATAGAAAATGCTTTGAATAAAAAAAGAAAAGAAAAACTGGGGCCTAGATTTAGCCCAGGGCCACAGCCATTCATCTTTTCTGTACTATTTAAATACTTTATAATAAAAAAATCGAAAAAAAATGCTTTGGCTTAAAAACTAGTCCTTTAGGTTTTCTAACAAATACCTAACTTGTATATTTCTTTTCTTTTCTTTTTTTTTTCTTTCTGAGACAAGCTGTCCCTCTGGGTAGAGTGCAATAGTGTCACAGCTCACAGCAACGTCCAACTCCTGGGCTTAAGAGATTCTCTTGCCTCAGCCCCACAAGTAGCTGGGACTACAGGTGCCCACCTCAACGCCTGGCTATTTTTTGGTTGTAGTTGTCATTGTTGTTTGGCAGGCCTAGGCTGGATTTGAACCCACCAGCTCTGGTGTATATGGCTAGTGCCTTAGCCGCCTGAAGTACAGGCACTGAGCCTAACTTGTATATTTCTACTCCAGAAAATAAATCCAGACACTAGCTTTTAATTGTCAACCCCAATTTTTGGCATCACAATGTCTTTAATCCCTTTCTTTAATCCCTTTCAATACTTCCTGCTATTCTTTGTCAAAGCAAAGTGATGTACAGTTCAAAGAAGTAACAACAGGCTGTTTTCTACTTCTCCAGTCTGTGGTAATATAAACTAATGTTCTTTTTTCCCCTCCCATACATTTAATAATCTTGTATCTATGATCCAGATGCTGCAATTATAAATCCTATCTAAGCAATGGCTGAATATGAAATTTTATTAGCCATTAGATCACCTCATACACTTTGCTCTTCACATAAGGGGCAAAGAAATCATAGCTAGAAATCTTAGAAAATGTGTCATAGGATTTTTATTTTACGGTATACATGTTGCACAATAATTAGGGAAGAGTAATTCATTTCAAACTTAATATAACTTTCAAATATATTCCCTGATTTGTGCATAAAGATATGTAATTGCCACAGTTAAACAATGAGCTTGATGAGCTTCTGGCTAAGTTTGTCACTAAAAAAACTACTGAGGTGGTACCATGAATAAACATAATGGAACAGAATTTTGATGAAATTCAAGAGTACTCCTTTGGGAGGAATTCTGGGAAGATGGCTGACTGGTAGCAACCCTCGGCAGAGGCTCCTGACCAGAGGAAGAAAAACTGGGTGGAATTGGTCTCTATGAAGCCAAAGGTAGGGAGCTGAGCCAAGAAAGAAGTTGGGCGAGCTGTGACTCCAAGGAAGAGCATTTAAGAAAACAAATTTGAGGTACAAAGCCTACTGACTAGAGGATGGGAGACCCCTTCCCCAAGTAGGAGGCCTGCCTCAGGCTATCTGCTAATGAGCAGCGAACAAAAGACCTCTCATTTTACCTTGCTGGAGATAGCTGCTAAACTCCAGGTCTCTTTCTCCAGGGAGGTCCCACTTAAGAATCTAGATAATACCCCTCCAGGCATAAAATTGAACAGATGTTTTCCCCCACAAGTCCAAACTCCCAGTCAACCCTTCTCCCTTGCATGGTGGTCTGAAGTTTTGCCCCCTGCAGAGCACAGAGTATTTGGTCTTGTTGGTCTTGGCCTAAGAGATCTGGGCATAGTGTGGCCCACCAACCATCAGGACGAAATCTGTGACTAATGGGGAAGAAAGAGGGTGTGGGAAGAAAGGGACACTTGGCAGGAGGAGGAGCAGTCCCCTGGTTATGACTATGCGCGGCCAGTGGTCATAGCTATGCGCAGTCATGACTATGCGTGGCCCAGCTCAATTTGGGCTGTCTGGTGGGACAGGGTGCAGAACCCCTGGCTCTGATGGCACCCACAATGGGAGAGTGGTTGCCCTGTGTGGGCTTAGTTCAGCAGACAGGGCTGGTCCCTAGCCCCTGCTGGGCCTGTGAGCAGAGGCTTGCTAGGAGTGGACTGAGAACTTGAGAGCAAGGGCGTGGTCCCCTGATTCCAACAGAATCCTTAAGCAGTGGCTTGCTGGGTGTGAACCAAGACCTGAGGGCTAGGACGCAGTCCCTTGTCTCCAGCGGGCCTGGTGAGCAGAGGCTTACCAGGTGAGGGATGAGACCTGTGTGCCCTGACTCTAACAGAGCCTGCAAACAGAGGCTTGCCAGGCAGTGAACTGAGACTGAGGGGAGGGGAGGGAGGAGGGAGGGGCACGGTTCCGTGACTCTAACTGGTCTGGCAAGTAGAGGCTGGCTGGGTGTGAACTGAGACCGGTGGGCAGGGGCACGGCCCCTGGCTCCAACTGGGCCTGTGAGCAGAGAAGCAGACAACAGTGTGGACTGAGTCTGGTGGGTGGGAGCGTGGATCCCTGGCTCCAACTGTGTTGTAGGAGACCCTTGAACCCCTCTCTGTTGAGCAGGGTTTGCACTGCTTGAGACAATTTAATTGGGGCTGTCCACTTGGGGACATTCTGAGGTTGACCTTTGAAGTTCTGTAGTGAAAAAGAACTGAGGGGTGGGGGCTGGGAGCCGCAGCTGTTTATATCTCTTCACAGTTGAAATTTAAACCTAATACTATGGCTTCCAAAGATAGGGTAGAGGTTGGCTGATATCAAAACAGAGCTAGCTTGTGCTATCTCACCAAGCAGGTCCTCAGAATCTCTGGCCAAAACTCTGAAAGGGACCTTTGTAAGGTTTTTGGAGATAATTCACAACTATAAAGCTTAGCACTTTGGTAAGCGGCTATCTCTACTACCTAGGAACTCCAATTCAATCTCTCCCTACCAGTTCTAATAACCAAGCAGTGGAAAATAAACATGTGGACCCAACAGAAGCACCCTGGCAACATGAATAACCAGAGTAGATCAGCCTCCCCCCTCCCAAGAAATGACAAAGAAGATACAACTGAAGATGCCATGCTTAAACAAATGGCAGCAATGTTGGAAGCTGAATGCAGAATATGGATTGCAAATAAGATAAATAGAAGAAAAGATAGAAATTGAATTCCAAAGAGTAGTTCTAAAATTGTCTCAAGAAATTAATAAATTCAAAGCCCAAGTCACGAAAGATATGGACATAATGAGAAAAGAGAAAGCAGAGCTCAAGGAAACAAAAAAGTTAGTTGAGGAGCTCCAAAGTACAGTAGAATCCCTCAGTAATAGAGTTGACCAGGCAGAAGAAATGATCTCTAAAACTGAAGAAAAAGCTTTTGAACATTCCCAAACACTCAAAGACGCAGACAAATGGAGAGCAAAAACTGACCATTCCCTGAGAGAGTTGTGGGATCACTCCAAAAGAGCAAACATTTGTCTTATAGGAATTCCCAAAGGAGCAGAGGATGGCTCTAAAGGTACAGATGCTCTACTCTAAGAGATTCTGGAGGAGAATTTCCCAAGCATTGCAAGAGATATAGAACTTCAGATAGCAGACAGTTTCAGAACCCCAGCAAGACTCAATCCAAACAAAGCATCTCCTAGACACACTGATTAACTTTGCCAAAGTTAAGACAAAGGAGAAAATTCTGCAAGCAGCCAGACATAAAAAAAGCATCATCTACAAAGGGAGAAGTATCAGAATGACTGTAGACCTCTCAGCCAAAATGTTTCAAGCCAGAAGAAGATGGTCATCAACCTTCAGTCTCTTAAACAAAACAACTTCCAGCCCAGTATCCTCTACCCAGCTAAACTGAGTTTCATTTGTGATGGAGAAATCAAATACTTTAATGAGATAAGACATGTTGAGGAAATTTGCCATAACTAAATCAGTTCTCCAGGATATTCTCAGACCCATCCTCCACAACAACCAGCACAATGGTCTACCTCCAAAGTAAACACCCAGAAATTTCTGAACAAAACCCAACTTCCACAGTGGTAAAAGGATTAAAAATGTCCACTGGATATCCGAAAATCATGACACCCCAAACACAACCAGGCTTATCAATTCTCTCAATTAATGTGAATGGTTTAAATTGTCTTCTAAAGAGGCAAAGGCTGGCTGACTGGATACATAAACTCACATCAGTTATCTGCTGTATAAAAGAATCTCACCTTACCTTAAAGAATAAAAATAGACTCAGGGTGAAGGGATGGACTTGTATAATACAGGCAAATAGAAACCAGAAAAAAGCAGGGGTTGCACTTTTAGAGGCAGATACAATTGGCTTTAAACCAACAAAGATAAAGAAAGATAGGAAGGTCACTATATATTTGTTAAGGGAAACAACCAACATGAAGAGATTTCAATAATTAACATTTATGCACCCTACCAAAATGCTCCTCAGTTCATAAAGCAGACCCTAATAGATATGAACTTGATATCTTCCTGCACTACAATAGTAGGAGATTTTTAACACCCTTTTGACAGTTTTGGATAGATCCTCCAAGAAGACAAAGAAATATTAGACTTAAACCTGACCTTAGAACAAACGGACTTTATAGACCTCTACAGAACATTTCACCTTAATAAAACTGAATATATATTCTTATCATTAGCCCATGGGTCATCCTCCAAAATAGATCATATCCTAGGACATAAGTCTAACCCCAGCAAATTTAAAAATATAGAAATTATTCTTTGTATCTTCTCGGACCACCATGGAATAAAAGTTGAACTCAACAGCATCAGGAATCCTCATACTCAAACAAAGTCATGGAAACTAAATAATCTTAGGCTGAATGATAGCTGGGTCAAAGACAAGATTAAGAAAGAAATCACCAAATTTTTGGAAGAAAATGATAAGGAAGACACAAATTATCAAAACCTGTGGGATACTGCAAAGGCAGTCCTACGAGGAAAATTTATAGTACTGGCAGCCTTCATTAGGAAAACAGAAAGACAGGAAGCCAACAACTTAATGGATCATCTCAAGCAACTGGAAAAGGAAGAATATTCCAACCCCAGATCCAGAAGAAGAAAAGAAATAACCAAAATTAGGGCAGAATTAAATGAAATTGAGAAAACAAAAGAATCATTCAGAAGATCAACAAAACAAATAAAACTGATTTTTGAAAAGATTAACAAAATTGATAAACCTTTGGCCAACGTAACCAGAAATAGAAAAGTAAAATCTCTAATATCAGGCTGTGCCTGTGGCTCAAAGGAGTAGGGCGCTAGCTTCATATGCCGGAGGTGGCAGGTTCAAATCCAGCCCCTGCCAAAAACTGCAAAAAACAAACAAACAAAAAAAAAAACTTCTAATATTGTCTGTCAGAAACAATAAAGAAGAAAGAACAACAGACACCTCAGAAATTAAAAAAATCCTCAATGATTACTACAAAAATCTCTATTCCCAGAAATATGAAAGTCTGAAGGAAATGGACCAATACCTGGAAGCAGGCCACCTTCCTAGACTCAGCCAGAACAAATTAGAAATCTTGAATAGACCTATATCAATCACTGACATAGCATCAACAATACAAAATCTCTCAAAACAGAAAAACCTGGGACCAGATGGCTTCACATCCAAATTCTATCAAACCTTACAAGAGGAACTAGTACCTATGTTATACAACATTTTCCAAAGCATAGAAAAAGAAGGAATACTTCCAACACATTCTATGAAGCAAATATCATCCTGATACCCAAACCAGGAAAGAATCCAACAAAGAAAGAAAATTATAGACTAATATCATTAATGAATGTCAATGCAAAAATATTCAATAAGATCTTAGTAAACAGAATTCAACAACATATCAAAAAAATTAAACACCATGATCAAGCTAGTTTTATTCCAGGGTTACAGGGTTGGTTCAACATATGCAAATCTATAAATATAATACATCACATCAATAAAAGAAAAAACAAAGACCATATGATTCTTTCAATTGATGCAGAAAAAGCCTTTGATAATATCCAGCATCTTTTCATGATCAGAATACTTAAGAAAATAGGCATAGAAGGGACATTTCTTAAACTGATAGAGGCCATCTATAGCAAATCCACAGCCAATATCACATCGAATGGTGTAAAATTGAAAACATTTCCACTCATATCAGGAACGAGGCAAGGATGTCCACTATCCCCACTGCTATTCAACATAGTAATGGAAGTCTTAGCCATACCAATCAGGCAAGAGAAGGCAATCAAGCGTATCCAAATAGGGTCAGAGATCAAACTCTCATTCTTTGCTGATGACATGACCCTATACCTGGAAAATCCCAGGGACTCAACTTCAAAATCTTAGAAGTGATCAAGGAATATAGCAGTGTCTCAGGATACAAAATCAATACTTACAAATCAGTACCTTTTAAATATGCCAACAATAGTCAAGCTGAAAAAACAGTCAAGAACTCTATTCCTTTTACAGTAGTGCCAAAGAAGATGAAATATCTGGGAATTTATCTAACAAAGGACATGAAAGATCTCTATAAAGAGAACTATGAAACTCTAAGAAATAGCTGAAGACGTTGACAAATGGAAAAACGTACCATGCTCATGGCTGGGAAGAATCAACATTGTTAAAATGTCCATACTACCCAAAGCAATATACAAATTTAATGCAATCCCTATTAAAGCACCATTGTCATACTTTAAAGAACTTGAAAAAATAGTACTTTGTTTTATACAGAATCAGAAAAAACCTTGAATAGCAAATACAGTACTCAGAAATAAAAACAAATCAGGAGGTATCACATTACCAGACTTTTGGCTATACTATAAATCTATAGTGATCAAAACAGCATGGTACTGGCACAAAAACAGAGTGGTAGATTTATGGAACAGAATAGAGAATGAAGAGATGAACTCAGCTACTTATAGTCATCTGTGCTTCGACAAGCCTATCAAAAATATTCAATGGGGGAAAGACTCCCTATTTAACAAATGGTGCTGGGTGAACTGGCTGGTGACCTGTAGAAGACTGAAACTGGACTCCCACCTTTCACCACTAACAAAAATTGATTCTCACTGGATAAAGATTTAAACTTAAGACATGAAACTGTAAAATCTAGAAGAGAATGTGGGGAAAACACTTGAAGAAACTGGCCTGGGAGAATATTTCATGAGGAGGACCCCCCCCAGGGCAATTGAAGCAACACCAAAAATATATTAGTGGAATCTGATCAAACTAAAAAGCTTTTGCACAGCCAAGAGCACACTAAGTAAAGCAAACAGACAACCTTCAGAATAGAATATTTTTGCAGGTTTTGCTTCTGACAAAGATGTGATAACAATAATCTACAGAGGACTCAAACTGTTCAATAAGAAAAGAACAAATAACCCTATTTCTATGTGGGCAAGAGACTTGAACAGAAACTCTTCTGATGAAGACAGGCACATGGTCTACAAACACATGAAAAAATGCTCATCATCCTTAATCATCAGAGAAATGCAAATCAAAACCACCTTTAGATATCATCTAACTCCAGTAAGATTAGCCCCCATTACAAAATCCCAAAACTACAGATGTTGGTGTGGATGCAGAGAGAAGGGAATGCTTTTACACTGCTGGTGGGAATGCAAGCTAATATGATCTTTTTGGAAAGAAGTTTGGAGAACACTCAAGGAAGTAGACCTACTGTTCGATCCTGCAATTCCTCTACTAGGTATATACCCAGATGATCAAAAATTATTTTACAACAAAGACATTTGCACTGGAATGTTTACTGCAGCCCAATTCATAATAGCCAAGATATGGAAATAGCCTAAGTGCCCATTGACCCATGAATGGATTAACAAATTGTGGTATATGTACAACATGGAATACTATGCAGCCATAAAAAGGATGGAGACTTCACATCTTTTATGTTTACCTGGATAGAGCTGGAATGTATTCTTCTTATTAAAGTATCTCAAGAGTGGGGAAAAAAGTATCCAATGTACTCAATACAACTATGAAATCAATATGTATTCACCCACACAGTCATATGAATGGCAAAACATAACCATAGTCCAGAAAGTAGAAGGGAAGAGGAGAGAGAGAGGAGGGAAGGGGGGATATGGGAAAAGGGAGGGTATTTGGGGGGACTTCACCTAATGTGCATTATGCAATGGTACATTTCCAAACTATTAAGAAATGCATATAATTGTGATGGATGTGTTACTTAGTTCAATGTAAGCATTTCACATTGTATATCGAAGCAGTACCCTGAACCCGATAAATGCATCAATGTACAAAGTTATGATTTAATAAAAAAATAATTTTAAAAAAAGAGTACTCCTTTGATTAATGCTTAATAGATCCATAAATAATAAATATACTAATAGTTGATATTCTTAAGAACATTATACAAACTTTTAGAAAAATGAAACTTTTAGCAGGGTAAAGACTATTAAGATAGGCTCCCTGATTCACAATTAATGTTGAAGGTGGACACCAATAGATTTCTGACTTTATGCAGAAGAGATTTATGTACCATTCAGTCCTAAGGACATCAGGCAGAAGTGTGTGTCTCAAATGTGGTAGAAAACTGACAGCACAACCACGAAAGATTGGCTTCAAATTCACAGCAGGAAAATCTCTTACTGAAACATTTATCTGGAGAAAATATTTTTCTTGGGGTAAATCTTTTTCCTAAAGTCACCATAGAAAAAGAATGTTAAATGACATTATCAAGTTCACTGAAACACACTGATTTACATGCACATTATCTTGCACTGACAGCGTTTTGTGCTCACAGCACTGCTCCACAGAATAGTTAATACTGTACACTGGGTGAGTGAGAACTCCTGATACTTCTTACCCTGGCATCATATTCAAGGACAAAAGGAGGGAAGTCGATCTGTTCTGGTGATATGGCAGAAAATAGCTGGTGGAGGCTGTCTACATGGTGGATTTTGTCCTTCAGTCCTGAGACAGAAAAGGTGGTGAAAAACCATGTTGACACCTGAAGAATAGAAGAGAAAAAAAATTTAAGCTGCTTTCCAGTTAGAAACATGAACACAATTCTGAAAATTTATATTAGACTCAAAACTGTATTTCAAAATCTTAAAATAACCAGTGTTTCTCAAAGTGCAGTTTGTAGTTCATCAGTTGAGCTGTGTGATCAGTTTAAATGATTATGAACATTGAAAGAAAAAGAAGAAATAAAGTAGGATGACAGTTGGGTGGGGGTGATAATAAGGATGGCCATGTCCCCTCTGCATGTGTGTGCACTTGCTGCTGCGTGTGCAGTGATGCTACAGGCTGCAGTCAAAACTGCTGCATTGTTTGGTACTAATTTGGTGCTCTGGTACTCTGAAAAGTTAGTATCTCCAAATCTCACAAACTCGATTTTTCAAATAAAACTGACAAAAACTTTTGCCAATATTTGGGAGTTAGATATTGTCATCTGACGTTTGGAATGTAGTCTCTGTCTTGAAATCAATCAAAATGAGTCACCTGGAGATGTGAAGCCACATCTCATTGAGCCATTTGCTGAATACCCTGCATAGTATACAATCCTTCTATAAAAGCGAGTCTGCAAAATCCATTGGTTCCAAAAAAAATTGCTGATGGTAAATAATACTGACATAAAGTAGGGAAACTTAAATTATTGCTCATTTGTCTAAATTGGCCATCACAGACTAGCCTCGTGAGGTGAGTGATAGGGGTGCTGTTCCCATTTACAGAAGAAGCAACCTATGCACATGACCTTCAGTGACTGGCGTAACATTCTCCAAATGGTGCAAACTGAGTACGTTACAAACACACTCCACTTTGCACTTAATACTGATGCCAATCACTTTGTGAACTTGTCTTTGGTACCCTGACTTGTCTTTGGTACCCTGTCATGTTCTTCGGTGGCTGTTCAGTGGCTGTTCCAAACCTTAACATATTCTAGGCTCTTCCTATGACAGTTTCTTCATACTTACCTGTGAGAAAAGACCTGGAAGAACAGAGGCAGCACTGACTGAACTCAGTATTCTCTCTCAGAATCCTGTTCTGACGTCCAGACTCAGTAGAAATGTCAGTTCTATCATTATTTCTCCCTTACAGCTCCAAACACTTAGCACTTGATGTTTTATTCCAACATTAAGGAACAAAGGAAAATTTGTATTTAAAAATAATTACTTAAAAATATATCATGCAAATTTTAAAGCTAGTATTTGGATGAGAAACTCAATACTTTTGTAAATGAGAAATCCCACAGTGGACACCAATTTCTCACTAAAATCTTCATTCATCTCTTAATTGTGAGGACCATTTAGTATTTGTCAGACCTAATTTCTACACAGTGCTTTAAAATAATTATTCCTATGTCTCTGATGTTTTCCCCTTCACTGGCTCCTACACCATTAGTCTCACTTGGCCGTCCTGCGATTTCTAGATTTCTTCTTCTTGGTCTTCCTCCCTATCTCAGGGGTCTGTCTGTACTTGTCCTCTTTACTCTAAGACTCTGTGATTTTTCTCATTAATACATTCAAGGAGTCAAAGTTCTATTTACTTGATGGTGACTCTCAATCCATGATTTAATGACACCTGGGAGCACTGGATGACACAGTCCTTCCTCGCACCATTACCCATCTAATACATCACTAAGTCCCACGTGTTTATATACAAAAAGTAATCTTTTCTCTGAATAAACTCATATATTTGGATTTTTTGGTTTGTTTTCTTATTGCCTGAGCCAGGAGTCAACAAACTTTTGCAAAGGACCATTGTAGTAAATACCGTAGACATTTTATGATAATGTTATGAAAAGAGTTCACAAGGCACTCCTGAAGGCACATGAGGCAGTGAAATGCTGGAGGCAGGGCATGAAAACTAGGTAAAAGATGACGGTGGGACAAACTGCAGTAGAGGCAGAAGGAACAAAGACACAGGCAGACACCTGACCAGCAGTAGCACAAAGAACTGAGGAGATGTGGTGAGAGGCGAGGTAGAGAAAGTACCCAAGAAGGGCTCTTTGGTTTCTGTCGTGGGCACTGGTTAGGCAGTGATCCCATTTACTGAGACAGGGAACACAAAAACAATTAAGGAATAGATGGGAGGTGGAGGACACCAGTAGCCCTGTTTAAAAATGTTGAACTGTAGGGGCCTGTAAGATATCTATGTGAAGACATCCATCAGCAGTTCAAGACCCAGGACAGAGCCCACAGAGGGTAGTGATGCTGACGATGGTGACAGTTAACATATACTGAGCTCATGTGAGATATATATATATATATATGTTGGGTACTTTTTCATGCATTTTACACAATTAATTTATTTCCCCCTTTCAATAATCCTAAAAAGTACTGTGTCCATTTCCACTTCATAGAGGATAAATTTAAAGCACAAAGAAATTACACTACTTGCCTGAGATGATAAATCGGAGCTAGGATTAGAAAGAATCTAGGTCTTCTGAATCTCAAAACCACACTTCTAAATATTAGGCTATAGTCCCCAAACATGTATCTGGGGATTACATATATTTTAGATGGTTGTTGAAGACATGGGGATAAAAAAAGGTATAGAATGAAAGATGAGGGCAGAGAGCAGGGACACTAACACCCCACAGCTGAGCAGTCAGTGACCCACACAGGAGACTGAGGGTGAGGCAGGGACACTAACACCCCACAGGTGAGTAGAGTGAGGGACCCACATAGGAGACAGGGTGAGGCAGGGACACTAACACGCCATAGCTGAGTAGACAGTGAGGGACCCACACAGGGGACTGAGGATGAGGCAGGGACACTAACACCCCACAGCTGAGTAGACAGTGAGGGATCCACACAGGGGACTGAGGATGAGGCAGGGACACTAACACCCCACAGCTGAGCAG